GACTCTGTTCATGCAATTGGGATTATATGGTTCATTTACCGAACAACTGCATGAACCAGAGACCACCCTGGCGCTTAACACCTATTAACAACTTGGAACGTTTCTCACCGCAGTATTCTAATTGTTCGTCTGGGTGGCTGCAATTCCTATAGACAACCACGAGAATGGTGGGGATTGTCATATAAGGCCAAGTGGGATTCAACGGGGAAAGTCCTTGTAAGGACTAGGGCTCCCAGGACTGAGAAGCGTCCAGTGCCTGGGGGTATCAAGGGCAAATTCCATGTTTGGCTCCAGGAGAGAGAGCGTTTCCAGGGCCCCAGTCAAGCCACTGCGACTGTGGGCAGAAGTGCTGTGGTTTGTCCCCTGTTCCAGCTAGGAAGCGGTCCTTTGGCGAAGTTATCAAGTCGGGGTACAGGAAGCTCCGTTACAATGCCTATCCATAAAAGTGATGACATTACTTTGGTTTCTAATTATCGCCCAATATCATTGCTCCAAGTATTGTCAAAACGCTTAGAAAAATTCATCCATACGCAACTATGTGAGTATTACCAACAATCTAGGTATCTGACCCCTGATCAATCAGGTTTTCGCCCGAATCACTCCCCTACAACTGACATCCAAACTGGCATGAAACAAGGAGATCTAACTGGAGCTATTTTCCTTGATTTTGCAAAGGCCTTTGACACAGTAGACCACGACATTCTACTGCACAAACTAAAAACCTCAGGTATTGGAAATTGTCCAGTAACCTGGTTTTGGTCATATGTATCTGATCGATCACAATATGTGTCTATTTCTGACAGTGACTCCCTCCCTCTGCCAGTCATGTGTTGTGTTCCCCAAGGTTGCATTCTCTGCCCCCTACTATTCACATTATTTATAAATGATCTGCCTAATGTCTGCAAATCCTCAAATGTACACATGTATGCAGATGACACAGTAATCTGTGCAAGCAAATCCGATCTACCGCAACGTGAGGCTGTGCTCCAAGACCAGTTCACAGAGGTAGAAATGTAGATCACAAAAAACAAACTCTTCCGAAACACTGTCAAAATTGTCACAATGATCTTTGGAACAGTACCTGAATTACACAAATTACAAAATTCCCATCTATGCATCAAAACAAAATCAAATAGCACACAGACTGCAGGTATGTCATTAGACCCTAATCTATCTTTTGGCCTCCAAATAGAAAAACTTGCATCTAAACTTTATCCAAAACTAGGTGTCCTGTACAGAAACAAATCCTGCCTAAGCCCTACAGTAAAGGAAAAGATTGAACAGAAAATGCTGATGCACCACAAACCCACCTTAATAAACTTAATACATTGTATAACTTGTTCTGCCGATTTGTGCTACAATGTAATTACAGGACCCAGCCATGTGTTTAAGAGCTTTTCTGGGAAGCTCCCACCCTACCTGAGCAGAATGCTCTCCCCGGCTCTTCCCACCTCCTATAACCTCCGATCCAGTACCAGCACTTTATCTAGTCTACCTCAATACAAAAAGAAAGCAGCTCGATCCTCCTTTTTCCTACAGAGCACCACAATTATGGAACTACCTCCCGCACACTTTCAAATCTTTCCCAAGCCTAAAGTCCTTTAAGAGATCCCTCTCTACATACCTCAAAACAGAATGCACCTGTCATGGTTGATTAAAAATTAATAATTAAAAAAACTAGCTGTTCTATGTTATATTTTGTATATATTGTGTAATGATATTGTTTTTGTATTTCATTGTACCCTACTGTATCAATGCAATGTTTTGTGGCTCCAGGACATACTTAAAAATGAGAAATTTCAATGTATTCTTCCTGGTAAAATATTTTATAAATAAATAAATACACACACTACACATACACAGAAATGCACATACAAACACATAGATACCCACACACAAACACACACTACACACATTACACACATACAAACACACAGATACCCACACTACATACAGGTACCCACAAAAATACCCACACATTACACACAAACAAACAGATACACATACACACACACACACAAACACACAGCTACACACATACAAACACACATTAAACAAATTGAGCCACCCAGCAGGTTATTATCTTGTGCTGGCTGTGGCTGGTAGGAGTTGGGGGCCTGCTCTCCTGATCCAGCCCCATCCTCATGGCTCCCTCCTCCTCCTCCCGCGCAGCTGTGTGAGTGAGCTGGGAGGAAGTGATACGCTGTCACTTCCTCCCAGCTCTCTGTGCAAGATAGAAGGAGCCCGGTCGCGCTGTTAAAGCGCCACAGCGCACAACCGGGCCCCTCATTGAATATGTCCATTGGGTGGCCCTAAATGGATTGTGTGAACTGGATATGGTGCATATGAAAATGCATGTGTGTGATATTTATATATTTATAGTGAACTCCTCTCTGCTGTGTTTCATGCAAGGTGACATTACAGCCATTTTTTAATTAAAGTGGGCAAAATGTAGATCACCAGATGATTTAAAACTACAGCTCCCATGATGCTTCGTCATTCTAAAGCATTCTAAAGACATGCATAAGGAATTGCTAATTTTAGGCTGAAAAAGCTAAATTGAGAAGGATACATTTCCCTGGCCAATTCTCCAACATTCTTGGCTTAGTAAAGAATGCCTAAGAGTTAAAATCAAGAAGACAATAAATTAGGAAGCTATGAAAATTGGATGTTCTTCAGAGCCAGAAACATGAAATGTAGCCTTAGATTAAAGCGGATTATAAGGTGGGCTGCTTCGTTCAGACATGACGTTAGCAAGGAAAGTGAACCACATTATTCTGACACTGATCCTTCCACATATGTGCATTATTTATATGATCACACTATTTCTAGACAGATTTGAACCATGGAGCATTTATACACTCCCGGGGCTTAAATGAGATTTGTTACAAAGGATCATGCGTTGACATCTAAAAGGTACCTCTGTGGAATTAATATGGGCAATGTGCTATCTTTAAAATATAGCCTCAACATCAACAACTGCTGAAAATGTTAGAATTCCATCTCCTGTCTCGATAGAATGTTGCAAAGCCTTATAATTTCCGTTGAACAGCTAGTCCGTTTCACACTACACATCCTTAACAAGTCATTTTGAAAGTGCCAGAAGGTATCCTGGAACATGGCAACACAGTATGACAGCAATAATGCCAACCTATGAAAACATCCCCTCTGGGTAAAAGCATAACCTTCAGGGAACGAGAAAGCCTGATGTCCATCACATTTTGTGCACTCAGAAGCTTTCGCTCTCCTGCAAGCCCACAGCTCCAGTTAATGTGTTGTCAAATCATCTCACTGGAGAAACTGGGGAAAAAATTAGACTTAACCCTTTCTAATGCACACGATCGCAGCTACACGTCGCCCGATAAGGAACTGTCTGCAACAGAGAGGTAAATTGGGTTAAAATCTAATTTCAGTAGAGTAGAGGGTTTTTTTTTTTTTTTTTTATTGTGTTTTTTTCTTCTGCTGGAGCAGAACTTGTCACATAACACAAATGATGGGTGGCCTCTAACAATATGCCAAAATAATTATATATGTGAAATTTGAAAACATTGCAGGTATTATATGTAATGAATTTCAATGTGTGTGATGTTTAGTAGAAAGAAAATGCGTTCAACCTGCAATTTAAAAATTTAACCAATTCTGTTATAGGTACACCTGATTTTTATTAAGTATTTATAATTATTAAACATATTTTTTCTTTAATTAATGTATTTTTTCCATATCTCATTGAAATGTGGGTAATTATGCAAATATGGAAAGCTCAATAATGCAATCATTACCAAATCCCAACTTTATTTGGAGGTATGCCCATATGTTAGTAAATCAGTGCTCTTATGCTAGGCTGATTAGATTCCCTAATGATAGAAAACATACATTACAGGTGATACTCGAAAAATTAGAATATTGTGCAAAAGTTCATTTATTTCAGTAATGTAACGTAAAAGGGGAAACTAATATATGAGATAGAAGCATTACATGCAAAGCAAGATAGTTCAAGCCGTGGTTTGTCATAAGTGCGATGATTATGGCTTACAGTTTATGAAAACCCCAAATCCACAATCTCAGTAAATTAGAATATTACATGCAATCAATAAAACAAGTAGTGTACAAAGAACAATATCGGACTTCTGAAAAGTATAAGCATGCATATGGACTCAGTACTTGGTTTGGGACCAGGATGCTCCAATAGCGGCCTTCAGCTCTTCTGCATTGTTTGGTCTCATGTCTCATCTTTCTCTTGGCAATGCCCCATAGATTTTCTATGGGGTTCAGGTCAGGCGAGTTTGCTGGCCAATCAAGCACAGTAATCCCACGGTCATTGAACCGGTCCAGTCCTGCTGGAAAATGAAGTCAGCATCCCCATAAAGCTCGTCTGCGGAAGGAAGCATTAAGTGCTCCAAAATCTCCTAGTAGATGGCTCCGTTGACCCTGGTCTTACTGAAGCACAGTGGACCAACACCAGCAGATGACATGGCTCCCCAAATCAACACAGACTATGGAAACTTCACACTGGACTTCAAGCATCTTGCGGTGTGTGCCTCTCCATTCTTCCTCCAGACTCTGGATCCTTGGTTTCCAAATGAGATGCAAAAGTTGCTCTCATCAGAAAATAGGACTTTGGACCACTGAGCAACAGACCAGGTCTGTTTTTCTTTAGCCCAGGTAAGATGCTTCTGACGTTGTTTGTTGTTCAGGAGCGGCTTGACAAGAGGAATACATCTGAAGCCCATGTTCAGGATCCGTCTGTGTGTGCTGGCTCTTGATGCACTGACTCCAGCCTCAGTCCACTCCTTGTGAAAGTGCCCAACACTTTTGAAAGGCCTTTTCCTGACAATCCTCTCCAGGCTGCAGTCATACCTGCTGCTTGTGCACCTTTTTCTTCCACACTTTTCCCTTCCACATAACTTTCTATTAATGTGCTTTGATACAGAACTTTGGGAACATCCAACTTCCTTCGCAATTACCTTTTGAGGCTTTCCCTCCTTATGGAGGGTGTCAATGATGGTTTTCTGCACAACTGTCAGGTCAGCAGTCTTCCCCATGATTGTGATTCCTACTGAACCAGACAGAGACCATTTAAAGGCTCAGAAACCCTTTGCAGGTGTTATGGCTTACTTAGCTGATTAGAGTGGGACACTGTGAGCCTAGAATATTGCACCTTTTCACAATATTCTAATTTACTGAGATTGTGGATTTGGGGTTTTCATGAGCTGTAAGCCATAATCATCGCACTTATGACAAATCACAGCTTGAACTATCTTGCTTTGCATGTAATGCGTCTATGTCATATATTAGTTTCTCCTTTTACGTTGCATTACTGAAATAAATGAACTTTTGCAAAATAGTCAAATTTTTCGAGTATCACCTGTATAGGACCTCACTGAAATCGAATGCTACCCTTTGGGGGTGATTTGTCTTTCTGTATGTGTCCTCTGTTGAAGGAGAGATCTGGTCACTCCATGACAATTGTTTTCTATTAAGTGCTTTATTATGCAAAGCCATGTAGTTGTAAATGTGTAAATGCTCTTTGATGATTATTTATACAGTGTGTTATAATGGGACTATTGCTTGCGGTTATTGTTGCACAGATCTCTATAAGATAGCCACAATATGCAGTTCTGGCTTTCAGAAAGGAGAGCAATGAGATAAGCGATATCATTACCTCTTAAAAAGATACTGCTACATAAAAAATGCAATGCAAAAACAATAAAATAAAACATTTAAAACAAATGGTGAGATATAAATCTGTCACAGCATCGATCTGTCACTGCTCCTTGTCATATTATCGCACCATACCCCCAATATATTTTCTATACATGTCTCTGATCATGACACAGCGGCACTCGTCTGTCACTGCTTCAATACCTGCGTGAATCCACTTACAGCAGGTCCATGACCCTTGCAATCCCACACTAATGTATTCATCCACATCTCTCTACTCTATGGCCAACATACATGCCCTATCACTGCTTGCTGTAGTGGTTATGGTGCCAGGATTGTCCTGGTGCCCCCTAATTGTGAGTAGTAAAATCATTTATAAATAGCACCACTGTCTGTCTTCACTTCATACGCCAGAGAATTTCCTTTAGTTCTCATAAACTAAACCCTGCAATGCAAGCTGTAGTGGTTATGACTTGGAGTGTTCCTTTAATGCTGTTAGATCAAAAACAATGTATCTTATTTACACAGACTGATTTCTAAACACATTTATTGTAGTTTAAAGACACATTACTGCGAGTATTATTGCAGTTATACACTCAGACACAAAAACAAAATATAGCACTTAGAAAAGAGGGACATTAGAATAGAAAGAAGGGGCAGAGGGATAAGGACGGTCTCTCCTAAATAGGGACACTCTTGGTTTGTTCATTTAAAAACATTAAGGGTGATCTGGTGAACACCGTTCTTGTAAATTAAAAATGATTCACAATACATAGGTATTGTATTTTATAAGTTATTATGGAATGCTGGCCATGCATCTGTAGTCACAGGGAAAGTTTTTAAGGCCCAGCAAGATTTTTTAATTCCAAAATTGATTTCTAAACTATTGCAGAGTGATATGCTTACATGTGCAGAAATAGCCAAAGGCATACTCATGTACCTTAAAGAAAAAGTATGTGTAGCCAAAATCAGAAAATTAGATCCTTTAGTGTGGGAATGAAATGAAAGAACTGAATTATTGAGCTGTTCATGTGTTTTGAAAGGTGTCTATGTTGTTCACTTTTTGTACCATGGATTTGTCTAGAATAGGAATTAATCCAAACTATTGCATTTAATCAAAAGAGAAAAAAGTGCAAATATATATACACACACATACACACACAAATCAGCGACAACATTAAAACCACTGACAGGTGAAGTTAATAACTTTTCATGTCTTCAAAACAGAAAAACATGGGCAAGCAAAAAGATCTAAGTAACTCTGGCAAGGGCCTAATAATAATAGCTAGACAAGTGGGTCAGAGCATCTGCAAAACAACAAGTCATGTGGGGTTATCCTGGTGTGCAATGATTAATACCTATGAAAAGTGGTGCCAGGAAGGACAACCGGTGAACCGGCATCATGGGCACCCAATGCATGCAGGGAGTAAAGGCTAGCCTATCTCAACTGAGCACACAGAAGAACTACTGTAGCTATTGCTAAAAAAGCAAAACAATGCTGGCCATGATAGAAAGGTGTCAGAACACACAGTGCATTGCAGCTTAATGCGTATGAAACTGCGTGGGTGGTGAACCGTCAGGGCGCACATGATGATCTCTTCCCACCACCAAAAGTGCCTTCAATAGGGACTTAAGCACCAGAACTGGACCATGGAGAAATGGAAAAAAGTTATCTGATCTAATGAATCACGTTTTCTTTTAGATCAGGTGGATGGCCAGCTATGTGTGCGTCCATTTACCCTGGGAAGAGATGGCAGCAAAATGCACTATGGGAAGAAAGCAAGCCAGCGAAGACAGTGCTATGGTCTAGGCAATGTTCTGCAGGAAAACCTTGTGTCATGGCATTCATGTGGATGTTCCTTTGACATGTACCACCTATCTAGAGATTGTTGCAGGCATACACCCCTTCATGGCAATAGTTATCCCTGATGGCAGTGGCCTCTTTCAGCAGGATAATATACCCTGCCACACTGCAAAAATGGTTCAGGAATGGTTTGAGGAACATGACAAAGAGTCCAATGTGTTGCCTTGGCTGTGGTCCCAGTGGTAACAATCTATTAATATGTACATTAAATGTTAAGTTTCATAATCTTTGTGTGTTGGTGTATACTATTGTAATGACATTTTTGAATATGGAACATTTGATATAGGTGAGCAAACATTTTAAATTGTTGCTCTCTGGATTACAGACCAAGAAAATATTGTGTTGACACAAATTCTGGTCACAACTCAGGTTTTTGGAATTACTGCTATCAAACTCCTATAATGTTCTACTCCTAGCCTATTACTGCTACACTGCCATTTCTTTAAAACATCCACTCATTTACAATTTAGGGATTTCTGTATTGAATTAAGTTTGATATTATATATTAGCTAGAATGCATGTATTGAATCTGGTGCCAGGAGAACACAACATTTTTTCAGTTACGTGTGACCTTGCTTCTCAACACTTGTCGTCATGAAACAAGTCACTTTAGAACTCACTGAAATCACCCAAGCATTTTGTTTTCAGTTTATTAAAAGGTTTCTCTTTTCAAGTCCATGGAATAAATCAAGTCTTGTGATCCAGGTTTGGGGTAGGGTTCCCAACTAATTGGATACTGTTGTTATTCTGCTAACATCAAACATGCTCAAGCCTCCTATGTCTATGATGGCAGCTTTGTGATATGTGTATTAAACTCAGTTGTCCGAAATCCCGAGTTTAAAGCCTTTCATCGTTATATGGATTATTTTGCAAACCCTTTATTCATGTTTTTTTTGTTATATACCAGCTAGTTTTAATTTTATACCTGCTTAGTAATAGCAGTTATAAAGACATTCTTCTGAAAACTGATCGCTTGGCTCACATTAAACTGTAAAAGTTATGGTTCGGTCACTGAGCAAATTTTCATTTCTATGAAAAACAGGATTCATGCTTGACTTAACGTTTAATTATTGACTGTGGAGTTACAGTGTAAGGTCTTAGCTGATCCTGCTGAAAAGTCGCAACCCTGACACTATGAACACAAATAGTTTCCTAGTACCAGCCCTATGAGAAAATAGCCATTAAAATGTAATATAGAGCAGAAGAGATTAAAGAGATAAAAGCAACACTTTAAAGATTTTACATAGAGATAAGAACAGAGGATTGTAGGGCTGTTTATATACATTAACATCATAGTGTTGTAGAGCAATGTTTATTAAATTTGAAAGCAAATGTGTCTCTCAAAAAATGCAATAATCAATATATACTCTATCTATCTATCTATCTATCTATCTATCTGTCTGTCTGTCTATGACTGTCTGCCTATCCACAGACACTATATAGCCAATACCATCAACCTAACCCATTGTTAACAGCTTCATAAACTCCAACACATAGCCATGAAATCTCTACAGACAAACACTGGCAGTACAATTGGTTATACTGAAGAGCTCAGAGACATTAAATGTGACCCTGATATAGAATCTTTTTTGTTATAGAATGCCACCTTTGTCAGTCCAGGAAAATTCTGCCTTGCTTGATCCACCCAAAACTGTAGCTGCTGATATTCTAAAGTGTTTGTGTCAAGTAGCAACAACAGCCAAGCCAAAAACTAGTAGTGGATCATACGTGTAGCGCATAAAGAAAAAAAAAAAGTCCTATCATCCTTTCCATCACTCACTACAGATTTCCAAACTGCCTCCGGAAATGAGATCAGCACATCAATATGTGTGATGCCGAATGTCAGCTGGAGTGGTGTAAAGCACACCATTACTTGACTCAGGGGCAGTGGAAAAGTGTTCTCTGAAGTGGTAAATCACGCCCTACTGTTTGGCAAACTGATGGAAGAATCTGGGGGTCAGGGTGTTGCATATGCCAGAAGAATGCTACCTACTGGAATGCATAGTTAGTACCTACTGTAAAGTTTGGGATACTAACAGGATGTCAGTCAAATGTCAGTCATTGAGGGTCTTTTTGATGATGTGTACACACTTGTGACATTACAGCCCTTTGTAACCAATCACAACCCAGTACAGTATATTTTTATTTCCTGGTTATTCTTGTTTCCTTGCCCTGTCATGCTTTCTGTTTACCGTTACACATATACTTATTATTTACATAATAGACTTATTATTCACTTTTCTAACCTTGGATTGACTGACCGGTCTTGCGCTTTGTAACCCTGACCTAGACTTGTTTCTCATTTTTCTGTGTACCTCCTTGATCCCGACCTTGACATTTATTCTGTGTCTGCTTGCATACTTTCTGACTATAACCTCAGTGCAAGCCTGGCCACTCTAAGGACCGGTAAGCATACCTTTCCCTGGATATACCTTGGTTTGTGTGTTAGGGTCAGGCCAATCCTGACAAAGAGTCATCTTAATGCTACAGGATACAAATACATTTTAGACAACAGGATGCTCCCATTTTTGAGGCAACAGTTTGAGAAAGGCCTTTTCCAGTTCCAGCATGACTGTGCCCCTGTGCACAAAGCAAGGTCCGTAGAGATAGAATTTTGACAAGCTTGGTGTGGAGGATCTTGAGTGCCCTGCAAAGTTAATTTGATGGCAAATTTCAATTTTAG